TCTTCCCCCAGATTCCAGGAGCTGAACATACGATCTTTGACGAAGGACCAACTAGCATCTTGGATTCCAGCTGTCACCCTAGGTGGGTCACTTAATAGGTGTGGGCCTCAGTGTTTCTATACGTCAAATGGGCACAACACAGTGCCAATTTACGAGATTATTGTAAAGTTGAAATGAAATAAAGTCTGTGAAGGAGCTTGGTAGAATGTGCGGTGTTGAGTGCTTTGTCTTTTCCCCCTCTACTCTTATCCCCTCTCTCCCCAGGTCTCTTGCATTAACATGCACTCATTCACAATCACTGACACAGAGCTAGATGAATCAGACACCAAGGGAACAGAGCTGTTTGCTCACAGCTGCAGGAAGCAGTGATATGAGCCTAGGGTGTACCGAGCACCTGAGATAAACTCTAGCGAGGGGAACTATGGACCCAGGTCTAATACTCCACCCTCCCTCAAATGCCACCCCTGCAGATGACTAAGGGGATAGATGGAGTCCTAGGCAGAAAGGCAGAATTCTCCACTCCCACTTCTCAGACCAGAGAGCTGGAGCGACCTTCCTCTCCAGCTCAGGAAGGCTCCTGGATTGACTTGGACAAAAGTGCCTGCTCTTGACCTGACCTGACCTGCCCTGATTTTGCAGGAATCCTGATGAGGCCACCGAGGTCCTCAGATGGGAACAACTTCTCAATAACCTCCCTGGGATACAGGTAAAATGCTCCAAGATCAGAGTCCCCACCAGATCTAAAGTCAAGCTCATGTCACTGCTCCACTTGAACAACTTCTTTCACACCCTTGTGAGCCCAACACCAGCTCAGGAAGGGGGTAAGGGTAGCCCTAAATAACCTTGACCTATGACTCAGGGACAGAGGCTGCCCTGGGCCCAGCAAGACCTGGAATCAGAACCCCAGGCTGTCTTAGACCAGGCATGAGTAGCTCAGCTTTGGGGACCCAGCCCTCTCTGTCTGGTAGGGGCTCCTTTCCTTGTACAGTGTACTTACTTATCTCTTTAGTTTCCCAGTGCTTACTTTATTCATTCCCTCATTCCTCCATTCAATATGGTCATTTATCTCCTATAACATACTAGGCATGAGGATGTGGATGACTGTGACACTCCCTGCCCTCAAGGAACTCAAGGTAAAAAAAAAAAAAGAGAGAGAGAGAGAAGCAGAAAGGTCATGGCCAGAGGTATTATTCATTGAGCACTTACTGTGTGTCAGGGACCTTTCTAAGCAGTTGACTTTAACAACCTACAGGGGCGGTGGCACTTAGCAGAAGATGAAGTGCTATTAGTTCCTATTAGTTTGAGAACTCCTTAAAGACAGAGAGTGGTTTTTATCTGTCTCTTTCTCCTGGACCCATTACAGTGCCTGGTACACAGAAGATAATAAAGAGCTGTTTCTTAAATAGGTTAACAAAAGAGGTAAAAAGACTTGAGAGTAGGGAAGACACATCCTGTTTTTCTACAATCCGTTAGCTCCTAGCAGAGTTCAGGGTATGCGAGGTTGAACTGAGCCCCACCTTGGTCTATTGGGGGGCGGGGGGCCAGGTGGGTTCTGGAATAAGTGGAGAACAAACACCTTTCTTCTGACTTGGCAAGCTAGGTCCAGCATGTCTGGGAGACCCTGGGGTGCATAAGCCACTTAAAGTGACTATAGCCCACAAACAGGCTTAGGGAGGAGTTAGAGAATAAGCTACATGGTGGGGAGTGGGGAGAGGAAAGGATGGGGTGATGGCAAGGGTGCCAGATCTCCTCCTACCCTATGTCCTAAAACCTGTAACAAAGCTCAAATGGTGCCAGAGCCAACTTATTTGTTCATCTCTTCCCTTGACAACCATTGACTGAGCCCAATGCTCCAGCAGGTTGCTAGGTCCCAAGATGGGAAGACCCAGCCCTGCCCCTTGTAGTGCGTTGTCAGGTAGGTACACGCAGGTGAGCACCAGGTGTACCGCACACCATACCATGAAGGAGGGGTGCCCATCTCAGTCTGAGTTTTGACTAAAAACCTGGAAATCTGCAATAACACAAACATGGAAGTATTGAGAGGAAAAGGAAAAGGAAGGATTAGAATGAGATCACTCGTGGAACAAGGTCCCCAGATGTCCAGCCATGTGGCTGCTTCACCAAGAGTAGTTTGTGATGGCAGGACTTTGGGGCTCACTGGAGAGGCAGGAAAAGATTAGATTACCTGGCCTGTGGGCAGTGAGCAATCTGGGCTGTCCTCAGTAGCAAATGGGGAGCCACAGGACCACTCTAAACTGAAGGGAGACTGAGTTTCAAGCAATCACCCCAGCTACAACGTGGAGCCTGGATGAAGGGCAAGGTCAAACTGGAGGCAGGGAAGCCAGCAAGTAGACTGTGGCAACCTTCCCAGCTTGTTAGGGCCAGGGAGGACATTATAGCTGAAACAACGTCCATGGGAAGGACTCGTGGAGGGTCTGAGAGAGAAAAGAGGCCAAGATGATACCTGGCTTCTGGATTGAATCTCTGTGTCCTCTAGAGTAAGCATAGGGAGGGTGACAGGAGTTCCCCTGAATATATAGAGTTTAGGAAGTGATGCCTGCACAAGGTGGGACAGGTGAGTCTGTTGTTGAGAAAGCCCTGTTGGGCCCTGTTTGATGGCTTGGGAGCCATCAAACATCCAAACAACTGGAACCATGGACATGTTCAAGATGGCCCAAGGGGAGAGTGGAGTAAGGAAAAGATGTCTGTGCAGAATCCATGGGACAAGTCAGGGTGCAAGGGGTTAGCAAAGCCAGAGGAAGCTACAACTCTGAGCCAGACCTCAGGCAGGAGACAGCAGAGAGTGTAGAGGAGGTAAGGGAAATCAATGCCAGCTGAGACACCTGGGTGAGTCATGAGTTGGTTCCCTGAGATGTTTGGAGTTGCAGAACTTTGTGGTGAGCCAGAAAGGACAGCAAAACTGGCTGCTCTGGCCAAAATAGAGCCATCAGCCTAAAAGGAAGCACCCTATACAAAAAAAGCATGGAGGCAGCAGCTGGGAAACATGTCCCCAACTCCTTTCCTCTAAAACACCCCTTGATTGGCCTGTGTAGCCTGTCCAGAGTCTTCTTTACCTTCCCCCCAAGTTTCCCCATCTCCCACTCCATTATAACCCCCTTGCTGCCTCTATTGCTAGCTATCCTATAGGGCTGTTGAACTGGCTTACTGGCCCCTGCTTTGCTTCTGGTAAGTTCCATTCATTCATGTTTGCTGGGCTCCATTACCTGGAAACCACTGTGTCCTCTATGTTTGCTGTTGTTGCCTTTGTATGCTCGGGGACCCATGTGCCTCCTGTCCTTTTTACTTGGGAAGCCCTTGACCTATCAGAGTCTGGACTAGCTGCTTAGCCCATCTGTGTCTACCCACAGCCCCAAATCAGAGCCTCAGCTGGAGTCACCCTCAGAAACCAAGCCAGAAGCAAAAATACGTTTGCAAAAAGGCAGAAAACTTTATTGAATGATCTGTTCTTTTTCATAGAGAAGTGAAGAAACCAAAAAATAGGTGGGAGAGGAGAGGAATTCCATCAGAAAAGAAGAGCAGGGAGGGTCCACCTTCAGAGATGTCAGGGCCAGGGAGTCCTGGGAGCAGAGGGACTGGGCCTCCCATCCTGCAGTCCCTCTCTCTCCTTCAGGGCACCAGCAGCTCACTCCTCCCACAGCTGCTGAAGCAAAGGGAGGGATACCAGGCAGAGTTAAGACCTGTGAACATCTGAAATGCGGCGACCAGAGACAGAGGCAGAGGCAGAGACGGAGGCGTTGCCATTGGTTTTGGTGTTGGCGTTGGCGTTGGCAGTAGAGGTGGTGCCGCCAATAGTGGTGGTGCTGCTATAACTGATGTTTCCTGGGACACAGAAGAGACAAGAGGTGCTCAAGCTGGAGAAAACCCACCCCAGCCAGATCAAGATCCCTGGGAGGGCTCACAAACTCTTAATTAGTTAGGAGGTATGTTGATGGGGATTTTGTTATTATCCCCAGTAGTGACTTTCTCCAAGACAACCCAGGGACTCTATGGGGCAGAGACATCTATTTTGCAAAGAAAATGGGGGGTGGAGTGGGTGGTAAGGGAGGGGGTGGGGGCATGGGGGAGAAATGACCCAAGCCTTGTATGCACATATGAATAATAAAACAATTTAAAAAAGAAAAGAAAAGAAAATGGTTAAGCAAGTGACCACTTCCACCTCAACTTCCTCTATCCCTACACTTGGGAGCCAGCAATGCCCCACTGTCCACCCCCATCAGGAACACAACCCGCCTCCCATAAAGCAATCTCCTTACCTCCAGAGGAGGTGAAGCCTGTCATCCTGGAAGGGAGGAGAGAGAGAGCAGTGATCAGACGGTGACCGAGGACAGCTGCTTCACCGTCCCTCTGATAGACTGGCTCAGATCTTTATTTGGAGCCCTGGTTGGATTCTTCCCCTAATAGTGCCTCCAGTCCAAGGGACAGAAGTACCAAGTGTCCACAGACCTGCCTGCCTGTCTGCCTGTCCTGCCTATCCATTTGTTTGTCTAAAATCCCTCAAAACGAGATATTAGTCCCAAGATTCAGGGTATTAGCCAGCAGTTTTATCCTCTCTCTGGTTTACTCAGTTCCTGAACCACCCTTGAGCCCAATAAAAAAGACTTGGTTGATACTGGATATCGAACCCAGAACCCCTTACAGGCTAGGCAACCACTCTACACTAAACTACACCCCCAGCACAAATCGCCATCTTAAAGTCTTTGCTTGGCAGGACTGCATCAGAGCTAATAGTTTTCCAGTACTAAGATGTTCCCTCCATACCCCTTTTTCTGCCAATCCAAACAGAGGCCTGAATTCGAAAGTTCAAAGGTGCCAAGCCTGCAGCGTGCTGCAGAAAGGCCCTTTGATTGGAGAAAAGAGGGGAGCTCTGACCCCAGATCTTCCAAGCTATATACAGACAGGAATTCATCCCCTCTCTGACCTCCAAGGCCCTGCCTGCTCTGACATCCACTGCGGATGTCTCAAGAGAGCAACTGCAGAACCTACCTGGCGTCCTGGCCCTCGAGCAGGCTGCGGTAGGTGGCGATCTCCTGCTCCAGCCGAGTCTTGATGTCCAAAAGCATGTTGTACTCCTGGTTTTGGCACTCCATCTCACTGCGGAGCTCACTCAGCTGGGCCTCAAGGCTGGTGATGAGCTCCTGGATCTGCTGCAGCTGCAGGGCGTAGCGGCACTCTGTCTCCGCCAAGGTGCTTTCCAGCCCGGCTTTCTAGTGGGACAAAAAGGAAAACATTACAATGGGAGTCAGGCTAGAGGGAGAGACCTAGAGGTAGGGGCTGCTGGCCAAAGGCAGAGGGGTACCATGCTCAGCTGAGACTGCAGCTCAATCTCCAGGCCCTGAAGTGTCCGCCTAAGCTCTGTGATCTCTGTCTTGCTGGTCTGAATCATGGCAGCATTAGAGGACACCTCCTTGTTCAGCTCCACACTCTGAAAGTCAAGCAGGAAGAAGGGCGTCAGCTACAAACTCCCAACCAAGAGACCATGTCTGCCTGATACCATCTGGCTACATGTGGTAAGAGAGCCGGTACCTTGCTCTGGAACCATTCCTCAGCATCCCGGCGGTTCTTCTCTGCCATGATCTCGTACTGCTCCCTCATCTCAGCCAGCACACGGGTCAGGTCAATGCCTGGGGTGGCATCCATCTCTACGTTGACCTGGCCTACCACCTGGTTGCTGAACTCCTTCATCTCCTGTAGGGAGGAAAGGGAACATGTGTGATGTTCCTCATCCTCCCACTCCTTGGCTCTTAGTGCTGGCAGAGTGCCTTGGGAAGTGCTTCTATATCCTATGGTGGAGGGCTACATCAGGCTGCAGCAGAAGTTGCCCTTTATCACTGGAGGTGACTCATCCCATGGCAGGACTGGCATCCCCTCTCACCTCCTCATGGTTCTTCTTCATATAGGCCAGCTCCTCATTCAGGCTCTCAATCTGCATCTCCAGGTCAGTCTTGGACAGGGTCAGCTCATCCAGCACCCTGCGCAGGCCATTGATGTCGGCTTCCACACCCTGGCGCAGGGCCAGCTCGTTCTCATACCTGAAACATTAAAAATAAAATTTAAGTAAGACATAAATGATATTAGATACCACCCCTTCCCCTGAACTGGGTGCTACTACTTCTCCAAGACCTTCAGTCCTGAATGTTGCAGTGTCCCCAGTCAGATGAACATTGGTCTAAAATAAGACAATGAGGAAAATAAACTCACTTGAGCCTGAAGTCATCTGCAGCCAGCCTGGCATTATCAATCTCCAGCAGGACCCGATTGTTGTCAATGGTGGCTGCCAGGATCTGCAATACACAGAAGAATGTAACCTCTGAAGGGCCCATGTGCTTGGGGAGCAAAACATGGACAAGACTCTGCCTCTTCACTGTCCTTGAGCTGGGACAAAACACTTCTCTCTGAGCCTTGGTTCCTTCTCTATAAAGGGAGAAGTGAGGCCGGCTCCTGTGAACTTGGCATTCTACATCTGGTCATGATGGGGAAAATCCAGGATGTGCATTTCAGAGGATGCACCCCGCTCGGTACATCTTTGAGTAGTCAGATCTCATCAGCCTCAGACCGGCCACCTCTCTGAGCCACTGTCTTGAGAATCTACTCCTTCAGGTCAGAAGGAATACAGCGTGACTCCACATCTCTTCTAACATCCCTAGAACCAGCCTCCCAGCTAGCTCTCTCTCATGACAGCTCTAGCAATTCATTTGAATTTCTTGTCCAAATAGTACAGTGTAAAGCACTTGAAACTGGGGCTAAGCCCAGGCTGGTGGATCTCTGTTCTGACAAGCTGGTGTCACCGTATGGTAGATAGGCCTCACTGAGGGCATCCTGGCTCTGCACTGCCAAAACATCTGCCTCCTTCTTCCCCACTTAGTCATCACCAATTGAGAATAAGAGTTTAAATGCTCTCCCTCCAAAATAAACAATTATTTCCAGAACAATAAATGACAATGCCTCTTTTTATCTGTTGATTTTTGCCATTCATAATGGTTTTTAAAACTGCCAAGATTCCAAATATCTCAGCAGGTGAAAATTATAGCAGTTAAGTCGCCAATAACATAATTGTCCAAGGAGCCATAAAACTTTTTGACACGCATAATAGCCTCAATGAACATGAACCATGGAGAAGTCGCACTTGAGAAGGCATAACATGAAAAAGCCCATCAGGAGTACACCCTTGGTAGTGCAAGATGACAACTGTCCTCTGTAACAAGGATGTGAATTCCATTCACACCTGGTCCCTGAGACATTGCATGGCCTGGACTTGGAGACTCCGCCCTGCACTAAGGAACCCTTCTTAGCATCCACAGGCTCACCTTCTCCCGGAGTTCAGAAATGGTCTTGTAGTAGGTGCTATAGTCCCGCTCTGGACTAGTTGGACTCTGCTTCAAATGCCAGTCACGGATCTTCACCTCCAGCTCTGTGTTGGCCTGCTCCAGAGCACGCACCTTTTCCAGGTAGACAGCCAGGCGGTCATTGAGGTTCTGCATGGTCACCTTCTCGTTGCCAGAGAGGAGGCTGCCATCGCCACCACCAAAGTCGCCAAAACCACTGCCAAAACCTCCACCAAAGCCACCACCAAAGCCACCACCAAAGCTTCCACCAAAGCCACAGCTCATGCCACCCCCATAGCCTCCAGCAGATCCTCCAGAGACAAAACGGCTAGAACAGGTAGAGATACTGCGGCCTCCTCCAAGCTGGCAAGAGCCACCCCCAAAACCACCTCCATAGCTGGTGGAGGAGCTCTGCAGGCGACAGCTCATGGTGGGAGCAAGAGTGAGAGTAGGTGCGGATAGGAGCTTGGTTTGGCCTGAGCCGAGGACTGTGGCTCTTCCCTGGTGTGGATGCCTTTTATGCACCCTCTGTGGAGGTGGGACATCCTCTCTCCTCCCTTCCCCACCCTCTGACTTGGTGCCAACTGCACTTCAATTCCCACAAGCCCAGTTATCTCTGCTCTCAAGGGTGGGTTGTGCCTTTTGGGGTGGATTTTTTTTAAATCCTTAACAAAAGGGATGATTCAGAGGGAACAGTGTTCTGCTTGAGACTACCTTTTGACAAATGAATTCTGCTTCACCTCTGCATGCAAGGAACTCACTCCCAGGCTGTCAGCCCCACCCGGTATTAGAATGGGGAGTGAGCTGCAATGGTCTGCCAGGGAAGAAAGGGGACTGTAAAGTGGCCTTGTGTTTTGTGAAGTCGCCATAGCCCTCAGCCTCTCTTCTTTCTGTTATAGAATCTTCTTCTTTTCTGTTATAGAATCTCTTAGTACTTCATCTATGCCAGTGCATCCAATAGTTCTGATAGCTAGTGTTGTTGGTCTTACAGATTCAACTGTCTTGAACATGTTTAGATAGAGAAATAAATGGCTTTAAGACTGTGGCAAGAGACCTTCCAGGTCCTGAAGGACCAAACATAGCCGAGGAAACAGAGGCACAAGAAGAAGTGACCCTGTACATTGTAATAGTTAATATTCCCAGAGCCCTTCCACATGCAGGCACTAGCTGCAGTACTTTACACTCTCTATCTTATTTAATTTTTGTAGCATCACATGAGGTGAGTCCATATTATCCTCACTTTACACATAAGAAAACCAAGCCTTGAGGGAAGGAACAGAACTGAACCCCAATCTGGTTGTGCCTGGCATGAAGACTCATTTTTAGGTATATTTTTAATATAATGAAGTACATAAATCCTAAGTGCCCAACTTGATGAATTTTGCCTATGCCTGCCCCTGTGTAACCACCACCCAGAACTTTCCAGAGCTCCATAAGATGGAAGAGGTAATCCTTTGTACCTTTTCCAGTAATTACCCACACTTCTGACATAACCAACCCTCCAACTTCTGTCACTAGAGGTAAGTTCTGAGGTTCTCTGCCAGGGGCTGCTTTGCTTCCCAAGACACACTTGACAATGTCTAGAGATATTTTGGTTGTCACAACTGGGGTGGGGGGTACTTCTAGAATAGATTGTGTAAAGACCAAGAACACTACTAAATATACAGAACAGTCATTCTAATGAAGAGTTATCAAAAGGTCCATGGTGGGGTGTTGAGAAGCCCTGGATTAACCCAATGCATGGGTTAAAATCAATCATATTAATTGCTTCAGAGGCCCATTCAAATTGGGAAAAGCTTTAATAGTGCCTGAGTGGGGCCCTCTTGTGTGACATTTGTCGTTTGACTAAAGGAGGGCCCAGACCCAGAGTGTGGCTGAGAAACTCAGGAACTGTGTAGTAACACTACCAGAAAATGCCTCACCATTCAGACAGAAGAAAAGGCTTTGAGGTGGCCACTCAGAGCCCACTTTAGAAGAAAAGTATCCAGGGCTGACAGGAGGACCCCTGCCTGATGCTCCCAGCCCCCACACACCAAGGGACCACAGTTGCCATGAATGGCCTCTCAGGAGCAATGTTCTAGCCCATAGCAGCCACTAAGGTCTGGACAGTACCAGTCCAGGAGCTGTGGTGGGGTGGCACAGGCATGAGGTTGTCCTGGAACACCCCCTCCCTGATTCAGCAAGAGCAAAAGAAAAAGATTTGAGTCAGGACTTTGTCACCCTTTGTGTTTTAGGTATGGAAGCCAGCCTGGGTTCACCCAGCAGGCAGGTGGCAATTCTAGGGAGAGCCAGGGTGTGCTGGGGTGCTCAAATGCATACCACAGTGAGGTCAGGATTCAAGCTGACCCCTGACCCTGCCTGGCCCTCCTGCCCCAAGTTGATGGCTCAGCTCTCTCTCTGAAAAGGTGTGATTCAGCCCATAGCAGGAGTTCTGGCTCTCTCAGTGGAGGATCAAAACTGACAAGAAGGTGATTAATGGAACCTGCCAAGCCAGGGGTGACAGTGCCCCAATCCTCCTGGGGCTGTCAAGTAGGTGGGGCCAACGCCTCTCAGAATAACAATGCCATAGATCCTCCAAAACCCCGGCAGAACAAACACAACGTGGTCATGACATGCCTTTCTTTGCAGGGTCAGGGCATGGCTCCTCCCTCCTGAGCAAGGATTCCTTGCCACAGGAATGCCTTCCTCTGATCCATGGTGACCTCTAAAGCCAACAGAGCTTGGGGACACATGCTGGAGCCTCCTGGAGGAAACTAGGGACAGATCCATCCCAGGAACCCAGTTTTCCCTCTCCCCATACTGGGCCTCATGGGAACAGTGCTTTTTGCTTTGCTTTGGGGCAAAATAACAGCAAATTCAGTCCCCTCTCCGGTTATAGTTCCAGGGAAGAAGAAGATAACTGTATTCATGTAAACACATGGTCGTTTAGTCTTCCAGAAATGGAGGGGGTTTTATTAGCCCCATTTTTTAGATGAGGCAACTGACGTTCAGGGAAGATAAATCACTTGCCCAAGGACGTCTTGAAGTCCAAGGTTTAAATCTGTCTCTCTCTACCCCACCTTATGGTGGATTGACAGCCTTGCCATGAACACAGGTACGTGCTGTCTGAGTATCTTGTTCTGTGATATTGTGATTTATAGTAAAATAGGACATTTTGTTCATCTTTGTCCCATGTTCCTAGCATAGAGCTCCTAAAATCTTTAGTACTTTCCTGAGCTATTACAGGGGTGCTAAGAAATCTCCTCACAATTTCCTGGTGACAAGAGTATCTTTGCTCTACTGAGGTGATTCTTAGAGTGTTCATGGATAGAAGTTGGTTACCAGAATGACTTTCAGCCCTACCCACTCACCCCATCCTCTAGAAAGAAGAGAGGGGCTGGAGATTGAGCAATGATCATGCCTGCATGATGAAACCTCCTCGCAAATCCCTAAACTATGGGGTTCAGAGAGCTTCTATGGGGACAGCAGATCCTGCACGTGGGACCCTTCCAAACCTCACCTATGTATGCAGGATCCTCTGGTTGCTTATTTGTAACCTTTAAAATATCTTTTGTAATAAATTGACAATAAGCACACTGTTTTCTTGGATCTGTGGGCTTTTCGAAGGGGGTCATACCTGGCACCTGTGCCTTATAGCCAAGTAGGACAGAAGTTGTGGGTACCCTGGGATGCTACTGCTTACAATTGGCATCTGAATCGGGGGACAAGCTTATGGAACTGAACCCTTAATAAGGTCTACACTAATTCTGGTTAGTGTCAGAATTGAGCTGACTTGCAGGATACTCAGGTGGTGTCAGAGAATTTCTTAAATGTGCAGGAAAACCTATACGTCAGATCACAGAAGAGTTCTGTGTTGAGGGTAAGTAGAGAGAGGGAAGAAAAGCAGTTTGATTTTGCTCTATACATATTCTATTTATGTTCAAAGATGATAAAAATAGCACTAGCTAACGTTCATTGAGTGCTACGTTGAACATTCTGCAGACATGATCTTACTATAATATCATACCTTCTTTCAGATGAGGAAACTGAGGCCAAAAAAGTTAAATCCACTGACTAAACTCAGAAACTCAATGGTGTGTCAAAGCCATCTGGCTCCAGGGTCTGCATCTTTACTGCCTGCAAACCACTTTCTTTATATATATCTCATTACACAGGGAAAGAATTCGATTAGACTTACATTGTGCATTAGTCATCTTGCCCGCATCGTCTCTCCCTCTCACCCCCCTCCCCACCCCACTTAAAGCAATTGCAAGAGGTTTTTTAGTTCTGTTTTATATAGGTATGTGAAGTCCATCAACCATATACCGTCACCTTAATCTCCTTCCTTTACCTTCACCCCTCCCATTAGTGTCACACACACACACACTCACACACTGTAACGATTTTACAGTCTGGTTTTCATTATTAACATTTAAGTTGATGTTCAAAGAGGTGTCTCAATGTATGTCCACTGTGGGTGGGCTTTAGTTTTGCTCTGTTCAACCCCTTCCATTACTCTCCCTTACCCCTTCACCTCCAACCCCCTGTTTTTCAACAGCTTTCAATACACATCCTTATATCCTCTACCTTCACATTTTATGTTATGTAAACCACTTTCAAGCCAATGCTAGCACTGTCTCCATCCACACAAGAACATCATCTGTTGCTTTTTCCATACTCTGACCTCTCTAGCACCCAGGGCCTAGACAGTGGATGGTCCTGCTTCCCATGGTGGGCGGACCTATGCAACTTGTCTTGTAGGTTCAGCATGTCTGCCGTCTGTCACAGATCTTTGCTCCAAAGCTTGGTGGAATGCAGGAATACTCAGCACAGGACATCAGAGCTAGAATTGTCATAGGAACTTTCCCAACCAATCCCCTCTTTTTCACATGTGGAGAAACTGAGACACAGAGCCATGGAGAAATGGATGAATTTTCAACACTGCTCTCAGCTCATCATGGGCCTTACATTGAAAGCCTCTCTAAGTTGCACTTTGACTTTCCAAGTCCCCAGTTCTCAAAGATTTGTTCATTCTTAGCTGATTTTTCATCTGCAGACTTGAGTCTTAAACTCTGTCCCCCAGTTCTTAATGCAGAGTTCCTTGCTTGGGTCAGTCACCTACCATGTTCACTCCCTGGACTCCAAGGGACCCAGAGCCCAGGAGAGCTGACCCACCTCCAAAAGAGGCTCAACTCTCCCCACAGAAGAGGAGCTTCTCCTGAGAGGCAGATCCTCCCCAGTAAATCTGGGCTTTCTTCAAAGACATCTGATTGGCACGTTACTACCCAGAAGTCATTTCACACTGGCCTCAATGCCTCAGGCCCTTGAATGTCCATAGTGCCCAACTCCAAAATTCTTTTTATATCACCCAGGCTTCCCAGAAACTCAGCAAGGTCAGCAAAGACTTTGGATGAGATGAACCTGAGTTTCAGTCCTCCACCTGCCACTGACTAGCTGTGTGACCTTAAGAAAGTTATTCAACCTTTCAGTGCCTCCTTGGCCACGATGGAAAAACAGGAATTAGATGAGTTAGTGCTTGAAACTTCACAAACACCTCAAATGCAGGAGGCAGTCAGCAGGTGGAGGGTTGCTATGACATCTCTGTCACACATGAGGAAATGCAAACTCATCCGTGTTAGATGGCCATCCGAGAACCTTTCTGAACCTCCACCCTACACTGACACATGATTTTACCTCTCTCGCTCTCTGGTCCCTGCAGCCAGCATGGGGCCCATAGCAACCAAACAAATGACAGTTGGTGCATCCTGTGTTATTTCTCCCACTCCATCTTAGGTTTCCTGAGGACAGGATTTTCATGGAATGTATCTCCAAGCACTGCTCCTGGGATAGAAATACCCTCATAAACACCTAAGAAGTGCTTTCAGGGATTTTTGGGTTTTGTCTCTGGGAATAGATCAGAAGGCATAGCAAAGAACAGTGGCACATCCAAGGGCTACTCAGCTCAAATCTCAGGAGAAAAACCATCTTCTGAACCTATTTCCCCCATGGCACTAGCTGCAAACGAGACACAAATCCATGCATTATCTCAACAAATAATAATGTAGTCCCCACACTGAGAAGCCAGCAGAGAACATGGTGCCTGCTGTCATTCATCCCACAGTCTAGGCTCCCATCTGAGTTCCAGGGTACAGAAAGCCCTATAGAGACCTTAGTGGTCACTGTGTCCAACAAGACTCCTCTGTCTACAGATGGGGAAACTGAGACTCAGAGAGGAACAGGAACCAGCTTTAGCCCTCAGGGAGATTATGGCAAGCAGCCCCATACCTGCTCTTAGAAGCCTGAGCAGAAGACACACCCAAGGCCGTCCTCTTCAGTCCTAAAGCCACCCTCTCTCTGTGGGGATTGGAGGGGGTGTTTCCTGCTGCCTTCTTCCCCAGTTGGCTGGATACCAAGTCTAACCTCAGCCCAGGGCAGGCAGAAGGTGTGCCATCTCAGCCCAGAGACTATTTAAGGGTTCAGAAGGGCATGAGCCATCCCTGGGTAAGGGCATCTCACTCGAGGGTCAGGCTGAGGACAGGATTTGGCAAATTCTGGGGGCCTCTCTGACAGCCCTGCAGAGGATCCCAGGAGAGCAGAAATGAGCACTCCAGAGAGACAGAAGCAGCTTCCCCTCATCCTCCAACTCAGGGTCTGGCCCTGAAAGAAGGCACGCTAACGTGGCCCACAGACTGGGCCCTCCCTTGTCTCCCTGTACTATTTGCAGGGTGTACTTTTGCAAACTAAAGGTAGAAAAGACCCTTGTGGGCTGTTCAGAAGGCTTGAGACCTCTGTACCTAGGCCCAAAGGCTAGTGAGGCAGAGAAACAACCAAGCCACTAGTTTCTACCACATGGAACTTAGGACAGAGCTGACTGTTCTCAGGATGGGGACTTAGGACAGAGCTGACTGTTCTCAGGATGGGCGAGAGGAGACATTGAAGCTGATGTTTTGGGGTTCTAAATGAGTTTAAACCACAGCATGAGAGACAAAGGCCAAATGCAAGGACAATCTTTCGGCCATGGCAGATTGAATTTAAGCAGGCTGCCCTGGAAGTTACCAGTGGGTTCAATCACCCTCTCAAGAATGGTGTTTCTGCTTCTGCCACACCAGGGAAAAAGCAAGGATCGTAGATCAGAAAGCCCCATTCCAGACCCAATTTCAACATTTCTAGCTTGTGACCTCATTCAAGTTACTAAACATCCCCAGGCCTCAGTTGCTTCTTCTGAAACTGATGCTGAAGGCTGACACCTTCTTCACACAGCTGTTGGAATTCATGAGACGCAGTCTTGGAATGCTCAGCCCAGTGCTCAGCATACTGTAGACGCTTAGAAAATCTGGCTTCCTTTCACTAGCCCATGGAATAGCCTCCATATGCTCTCAGGAGACACATTCTCCCCTAGATCTCCCCAGAAAGAGCAGGCGCCTCCTTCTCTCCAACCAGAGTCTGTGGGGAAGAGGCTTTGCCCAGTGAGATGCATGGCGATCCTCTCCAAGGGTTTGGCTCTTCCCCTGAAAGATGAGATTCTCTGGAGAACAGAGGTGCCTTCAACCTGCTCCTCCCAGCAGGACTAAGAAACTGGTTCTCCCACCCCAACCCCAAGCCTCGCCTTCGGGCCTGACCAGCCCAGCTGAGGCACCTGACTTCTCTGTTTCCTCCTTTTCTGTGCTCTGTTCAGAACTATGAACTCTGGGGCTCAGAGAAACCAGTCCCAGACTAGAGGCAACACCCAGGCACGAGTGAATTCCACTACTCTAGGTATAAGGAAAGACCCTGGGAATTTGGATCAAGACAGCAACAGAGCTGGGTATCTGTAATCCCAGCACTTGGGAGTCTGAGGCAGGGGAATCCAGAGTTCAAGACCAGTCTGTCTCAAAAAGGAAAAAAAAAAAAAAAAAAGGACAAGGTCTGGTGTTGCTTTGGACTTAAGCTTGAGAAAATCGGGGAGGGCTTCCTGGAGCCAGCGTCTTTTCATCTGGGCACTTCAAGTGCCATTTAAGAAGAGGTGTTAGCCTCACAGGGGGTGAGGTTAGCTTTATAGGAGTGCAAAGACAGGAATTGGCCAGTCACCCTGAAAGTCAAGTGCACCTTCCTTCAAATAGCACATGAGGTGAGGACAGAAGCCACAGGAAGGATCCTACAACAGGCTGTGAAGGGCCCTGGCCTAGAATCCCAGAGCAATCTCTGGTTGTGAAGCCATAAAGGTAGGAGGCCCATCAAGCCCTGCTGCCTACTGCCCATCCATGAGGCCACCAGGCAAGTCCTTCATCTCTGCAACATCAGGGTCCTCATCTCTAAAATGGGAAGAATAAATCCTGACCACCCCACAGTTTTATTCAATGGGGCACATGGGTAAGGGTGCCTGGCATGGTGCCAGCCATACCCTTAATACAATTAATCACTTGCCAGCAGAGCAAGTTGCCCAAATAACACTGTAAATCCCAGGCTTCAGAGCCCTGAACACTCCAAAGAATGAATTTTGTGTCATCATTCAGGGAAGAGACCACTGTGGCAGGAGACATCAGCATATGGACCCTGAGCCTCCTCCAAACTCAGAGGCCATCCCAGACCCCACCAAGAAAAACTGGACACACTACCAAGAGATATTTGCAAAAGGAAAAGCAGTTTTTATTGCAAACACAGACAGGGTACAAATGAGCTTGTTACCCATGACAGCCCCTTGCTGTACCTCCATGCCCAAAAGGAGGTGGGGAAAGCTAGAGGCAGGAGAACATACAGAGCCCTGAACTGGAAGACCAAGGGACCCACTTCAGCAAGTCGCTCTCTGAAGTCAGGAATTGGAGTTTGCTTTTCCAGCCTCTCTGGCCAGCACCCTGTTCAGCCTGGGGAGAGCAGAGGGAGGCAAGCGACATTTCTCTCATACTAGGCACTCAGATTTCTCTCTTGCTGGAGGAAACCAACTTTCCATCTGAAGACTCCACTACGTGAACACGGAAATTGCTGCTGCTGCTGCCACCGCCACCACCTCCCAGGGAGGCTACGGAAAGGAACAAGCTTTATTGTAGTGCAACCTCCACTCTCTCCCCCAAGATGGCCGGGGTGTGGGCTTGGCTTTGGGAAAACAGCACAGCATCTCTGAGAATGGCCACTGGCCTATTCTGCCAGAGTTACCAGGAGGTCTGGTATTGAATTACTCATCAAAGGCACAGGTGGTGGTAACGGCAGGTATGCCAGGGTGAGCAATAATGCAGGGTTTTTAAGCTGCACGTGAACAGGAGTAATTATGGGCATCTGATCGTGCATGCATGAAGGCAGACCCAGGAGAGAGATGTCCCAACAAAGCCTGCTCAGCCTAGAGTATTCTCAGGAAATCTCCAACCTCACCCACTTGGACCAATTGAGGGTCCCACTGCAGAAGGGGTACATCCTGAAATAGGAGTTCCCCACCCTCCTAGATGTTTGGTCTCTTTCCTCTTCCTCTCCATTCCAAGGGGACTAGCAGCTTCAGTCCCCACCCCACACTGGAAAAATTAAGCCTTCCTACCTTCCTTGGTGCCAATGCCAGCCATCCTGAAACAGAGGGGACAACAGATGTTAGCAAAGGGCAAAAGCTCCAGTCTCCTTAAGAGTAGCTCTGGTGGACAGATGAATGGTCCTCTCCATCCCCCACCCACCCCACCCCTGACTCCTCTTGGAGATGGGACATCCTGACAGCCCATCAGGCATCACCCCCAAGCAGACAGTCTACAATAATACCCGGTCTATTTCACACAGAGAAGGAAGGAACATTAAATCTTCTTAGCCCAACCTCTGTCATTTATAGAGAAGCTCAGGTTCAAAAGTGACTTGCCCAAGATAACAGCCCAAGACCTTAGTGCAGAATCCAGACCCCTTACTCCTAACTCAGCTCTCTTCACTATACAGTATAGCTGCTTGGGGCCACCCTGTTGTCCCCTTCAGATGACCCTGCAGTCATATGCAGTCTCTCCTTCTTCCTCCCCCTGAGTCCATGGCCCTACTTGGCATCCTGGCCCTCGAGCAGGCTGCGGTAGGTGGCGATCTCCTGCTCCAGCCGAGTCTTGATGTCCAAAAGCATGTTGTACTCCTGGTTTTGGCACTCCATCTCACTGCGGAGCTCACTCAGCTGGGCCTCAAGGCCACTGATGAGCCCCTGGATCTGCTGCAGCTGTGTTGCGTAGCGACACTCAATCTCTGCCAGTGAGTTCTCTAGTCCGGCTTTCTGGTAGGGCAACAGATGCAGAGACACATCAGACCAGAAAGGAACCTGCCAAGAGCATAGGCGTGGGAGGGATGGAATGGAGTAAGGGAGCCACCTCTGCAGGGACTTGAGAACCTCAAGGGTTCACCAGCCATGGAAGATGGGAGCATCTGTCACCAAAGAGGCCAGGGTGGTGGCCTTACCATGCTAAGCTGGGACTGCAGTTCGATCTCCAGCCCCTGCATGGTGCGTCTCAGGTCTGTGATCTCTGTCTTGCTGGTCTGGATCATTTCTGTGTTGGAGACCACTTCCTTGTTCAGCTCCTCGGTCTGAAAGTCACAAACAAGAGATATGAACCTCCTCGGACACTGGGGAGTGGGGGACTGGGGCAGGGCAGGACTAGAAGGTCAGGCCCACCTTGCTGAAGAACCAGGCCTCAGCATCCCGACGGTTCTTCTCTGCAATGGCCTCATACTGCTCCCTCATCTCAGTCAGCATGCGGGTCAGGTCCACACCAGGTGCAGCATCCATCTCCACATTGACCTGGCCGGCCAGCTGGTTGCTGAACTCCTTCATCTCCTGTATGGTGAGAGACACCATGTAAAGACAGGACTGGGTGGTCCTGAAAGCCAACCCTGCCTCTGTCCCTAACTCACAAGGTGACCTTGACATAGTGCCCCAAGCCCTGACCTCTTTGGCCACCACCATCGAAAACTCCTGGATTCCCCATTGCACAAGAAGAGGATGGGTCACATGGGCTCCTCAGCTCTAAAGAACCTTCTATTCTAGATCCCACCAAGTCAGGACTCCAAGACACCATAGGTCCCTTACGTGAGCTCATAAACCAAACCAAGATAGCATTTCACACCTGCCTTAGCCTTGGGTCCAGGTCGCCAGAGGACAGTGCCCCTTCCTCTCCATAGGGACCTCTGTTTTTTTCATTTGGGGGAAAGTTGTATTTCTCAACCACCAAGCCGTGGGCAAACTATGAGGAAGCACCAGCCCTGCTCTGCCTCCCACCACCCAAAGCCACTGCCCCACTCTCGCCTCCTCGTGGTTCTTCTTCAGGTAGGCCAGCTCTTCATTCAGGCTCTCAATCTGCATCTCCAGGTCAGTCCTGGCCAGGGTCAGCTCATCCAGCACCCTGCGCAGGCCATTGATGTCAGCTTCCACACTCTGGCGCAGGGCCAGCTCGTTCTCATACCTGAGAAGAGAGAGGGAGCTCAAAGTCAGGAAGGATGAGGAAGACTGAGTAAAGGGGGCAGTGCAGGACTAGGAGACAGCAGCGGGAACACACTTGAGCCTGAAGTCATCCGCAGCCAGCCTAGCATTGTCGATCTCCAGGATGACCCGGGAGTTGTCGATGGTGGCAGCCAGGATCTGCAAGAGACAGGGATTTGATTTGTGCTGAGGGCTGCTGTTCTCCTGCCCTAAGGTCCCCTTACTGACAACCTCTCCTCCAACACCACCAACAGAAGCCTGTACAGCCTCTGGGGCACATAGAATCCAGCCTCACCTTCAGTGCCTATTACTTGCTCTGGTCCATACCACCCTCCTTGCCACACCTCAGGGATTGCTCTTCCTGTCCCCAGGGCATGGAAGACCAAAAAGGCAGTATTGCCTGGAATACCCCATAAGAACTGGCCAAGGGTGCGCTGGAGTGGGGCAAGGTTGATTCTTGCGATAGCCTTCTTGGGTACACACTAACAGTCAGTCTCCTTGTGCACAGCAAAGGGTAGCTGCCTCCTGCCTATCTTGACAGAGCCCTGGATCTATGAACATTCTAGCCAATGGGAACAGGGAGAGCACCTAAGGAAAACATTTTGCAGATGAAGAAACTCGTCCCAGTGAGTAAGAAGGAAGGTGAGAGGGAGACAGAGCCTATCTAGAGTTTCCAGGTCTCTTAAGTTCCAATAATGTTTTTGACACTAAAAGCATCCTGAAAAGGTGAGGCAAGAGGTCTGGACATTTAGAGCTCATGAGACCACACTTCAATATCATTCTTGCCAAGCACCCTGCAAGGTGTTGGGGGCAAAGAAGGCAAGTTGCTATCATTGCCCCCACCTGTGTCCCCATGAGTCCTAACCAGATTCCCAAAACCACTCCCACCCCAGCACTGCCAAGTGAAGCAGATGTGCACCAGCATCTGCACCTGGAAGGCACATGCATTTCAAGGTTGCTGAGGTTACACATCATGCAAGAAGGATTTCCCGAGTCAGCGGTAACATTACCATTACAGATGTGTGCAGGATGCCAGCCACCTGCTCTCCTCTCTGACATCTGAGGACTTACTTTGTCACGAATCTCTTCCATGGTCTTAAAATAGTGGCTATAGTCACGTTCGGGACTGGCCGGACTCTGCTTCTGGTACCAGTCTCGGATCTTCACCTCCAACTCTGTGTTCGCCTGCTCCAGGGCACGCACCTTGTCCAGGTAGGAGGCCAGGCGGTCGTTGAGGTTCTGCATGGTCACCTTCTCATTGCCAGAGAGGAGGCCACCATCTCCACCACCAAAGTCACCAAAGCCACCACCCAAACCCCCACCAAAGCCTCCGCCAAAACCACTACCGGCCCACTGCCAAAGCCGCAGCTCATGCCGCCTCCATAGCCCCCTCCAGAGCCCGACGAGACAAACCTCGCAGAAGAAGCTGAAATACTGCGGCTTCCACCTCCCCCATAGAGACTCCCTCCACCGAAGCCCCCTCCCCCAGCCCTGAGGGAGCCCCCTCGCGTGGAGCCACCCCCAAAGGTGGAAGAAGAAGTTTGCAGAAATGTGGTGGCCATAGCCAGACAACGGTGCTCAAGAGTTCTCAGCAAGCAGGACAGACGCTGACAGGAGGTGTTGAAACCAGACTGCAGCACAGTCACCCACAGCCAAGGGCTCTTTATATACCCCTTGGAGGGGGTTGTGGGGCCTTGTCTCCTCCCCCAGAGCAAAGCCAACTCCTGCCTTCCTGACAAACACAGCTGCCTCCACACCTCAACATGGCTCGTGTGGAGTTTTTCTTTTCTTTCTTTTTTTTTTTTTTTTAAATGCAACAAAAGAGATGATTCAGAATTAATGGTGTTTTGCCTAGGGCCATGGTTTTAACACTTGGACTACAGGTTCATCTCTCTACCCCAGGAGAGAGAAAGCAGAAGAGAGTGAACTCTCACCACAGTACAACTCCCAAGGCCTCTCTGCCTGTCCTGTTAGAGCAACGAGACCAGGTGTGTCCTCAGCTGGACTCCACTGCCCGCAGCCCATGAGGCTCACCCCAAGGTGGATAGCTCCCTGCCCTCAGTTCCCCAATCTCTATGTTCTCCCGCTCAAAGTCTCCATGCATAAACCTGCAGGACATGAAAGTAGCAGAGACCTCTGGGGATGGGAATGCAGGGCCCATGGGTGCAGGTTGGGGACAAGAGAGGGGGTCTTGAGTCAAGTTCTAGATGAGGTGACCAGAAGGGCCAGCATCTGTCCCTTCCCTAGTGCTGCAAATGGACTGTCCTCCTTCTACCTCTCTTTGTCCCCAATACCTGAAGCCCCCTCCCACTCCTCCAGCTCCCTCAGCCTTATCCCCATGACCTTGGCTAGCTTGCAAAAGCCCAGCAGGCCCAGAGCTGACAAGAAGCTGATTGATTATCCTGCTACCTGCCAACTGCACATGTCACTGAACCTTTGCTTGCTCTTGGGATGCGTTGGAGCAAACCTCTGCAGATAAGGCTGGGGCAAGTTCCAGGAAGCCCCTGCCTTCTCCAGTGAGAGGCATGTCGCTGCTTAGCAGGGCCAGATTAACCCACGTTCATCCTATGGAGCCCTGCGGGTTAGGGAGAGGCTGAATCCAAAGGCTCTACATGCCTGAGTGTTGTGAGAGGGAGGAGATTAAGGTCTGACAGGCAGGTGGAAGGCACCAGAGCTATCGTGGGCCTCAGCATCACTCACACAGGAGACTGAGGCAAGAGAGGGCAGTTGCACACTCAGGATGTCCTTTGCTTCTGCCACCAGCTCAGAGGCCCTGCTTCCCAGGGATACTAGCACCTGTGGACAGTGCCACTTGGACAGGTGGCAGGGCCACAGCACAGAGGAACAGGCGGGGCTCTGGAGCCCCTCAGGCCTGGGTTCAAATCTCATCGCTATCAACGACATGTGTGAGATTTTGGACGTGTTACTTTTTAAGAATCAGTTTCATTGGAGCGCAGGGCACTCTCAGCCTTCTCTTCCCCAGAAGCCCTAAAACCCAAGAGTCTCATCCTGCCTCCTCCTAGCACTCCATCATCTGAGGGGGACAATGGTAGGCTGCAAGTTCAGCATGAGGACTTTGGAGTGCCCTGGCCAGGAAGACTCTGTCCTTTGGCATCGACGTGCCCCTGAGCCAAAGCACGCTCAGGCTTAGCAGCATCACTCAACTATAGCCAGCTCCAACTGCGCAATCAGATGGCTCCTATTTTTGCTGCAATAATGCAATGCCCTACTTCCATCACACTTCATGATTTACAAGGTAATTTTGCATCACTGTCCCCTCTAATCCTATGACACAGAATGCCCCCTGTCCTTGTTTCAGAAGGAATGAGATTGGGACTCAGAGAGGCAAAGTTGCTAATGCTAGGAAGCACGGCTAGAAAGGGCACCACCAAAATAGGTCTCTGACCCCTTCTCAAGCAGGAGACAGGGAAAGAGGATCCCTCCCTCCTTCAGACCCCAAATTCCTACATCTGAGCTGGATTGGAGGGCCTACATTGGTGCAGCAGGCTCCTCCTCACCCAGATTCCCACTGAGCCAGGCCTCTGAATGCTGGGCCCAGACAGTTTAGCATTGTCTCATGGGTGGGAGGATATCGTCTTTCTCTCTGAAAGACAAATAATCAAACTCAGATCAGCCAGAGCTCATTAAAGCCTCTGCAGACACAGCGGCCCCAACAATTAACACAAGAACAATTACTTGTCCATCACCCCAGGGTGAAGGAGGGGTGGATCCCAGCCAGCCCTATTCTGTACCCCAACTCTCCTCCAGCAGCCCCTAGATTGTCTTTCCCGCCACTCTCTGGCCCAGGCCAGGGACAGCCCCACCTGCTTGTTGCCACGTTCGAAAATCCCTGATCTCGGTCCAAACCACGACTGTGAGCTCCAGGTTTGGGTGTGTTTCTGGGGCCTCCTCAGTAGCGCCCTGTGGGATGGCCTTCTGGAGGGTTGAGCTCTGGGCCCAGCCCAGGCTGCAGTGTGCCAGTTTCTGTGCCCACCATAGCCAGATAAGCGTCCCTGGTGTGGGACGCTCCTTCCTTCCTTGAGATGGGACCATGCAACCCCATGGAAAGAGCCTAACTGGGTCCCACCTCTGAGTGTGACTCAGTCTCTCTAAGCCAGGTTCCTGATTTAAAATGGGGCCATTAACACTGACTCCAGCCCCAGGGCCATAGTGAGAGTTTGAGGGCACATGGGTAAGAAGGTCCCCATAAATGTTAGATCCCACTCACTCCTATGTCCCCCAGGGAGGTGTCAAGGATAAAGCACCTTGGGGTCCCTCCTTTCCCATTCACCAGGTGTGCATCTTTGGATAATGACGCCGCTCTCTGAGCCTCAGTCTACCAGTCAGGAAAATGGACATAACTCCAATGCACCCGACACACAGAGCTCGACCAAGATGACTAGAAAGTCTTTACAAACAGAGAGCAGCCATAATGACCAGCAGGAATGAAAAGACCCAGCCTTCATGCCCCCAAACCCTCTCTCTCCTATCCCAGGCCTCCTCAGACACAGTTCTCAGACTGAAACACAGATGTGTCCTTGCCCTACCCTTCTCCCTGCATACACAAAGGAAGTCTTCATTCCCCACACCCAGGCCTGCGACCTGTCACCTGCCACACCTGTGTGGGCTCAAACCCAGCCCTGTAGCCACATTCCAGGGGCCCCAGAGCAGAGGGAGGGTTTCAGCTGTGACAACAACAGAGGCTTTCACAAGCAGGGACAAGGATATCTGGACAGTCAGGACCGAGCCTGGGGGTGCTGCCAGGCCTCTGCCCTGAGCTCCCACGGCTTCCTGAGAAATTAAGCAGTGGGAGAAGGGACCAGGGCTAAGGAAAAGCATAGCTCGAGGGTCACACAGTTATAACCAGCCTTGTGATCTGGAGCAAGCTAAGGAAGCCCTGAGACCTACTGGAAAAAGGAGGAAATAGCACCTCCTTCAGGATCAGCATGAGGTGTGCTGGTCCCTGGCACAAGGCAGCCAGTGTTCAATCTGTTGGCCTAGAAGACCTAAGCATGGGGACAGGGCATGAGTGTCCTCTACTTGTCTCCTCCCCTGAGTTAGCCTGAGCCCTCAGCCAAGCCCCTGCTTTATGGGCCTCATTTGCCTTGGACTGGCCACTGAGCTGTAAACCACAGGGGCAGGACTGTACCCACCCAGGCGCAGAGTTGTACCAGGAAGCTGGGACTTTGTTCCTTTGCTGGCCCAGGATGCGCCCCAGGCAAGCCAGGTTGTGGGGGGGTCTGTGTGAGCAGTCTGGGTCACAGCGGGGTCCCATTCCAGGCTCTGGGCCCAAGTATGGGCTGGTGGGTTAATTTACAGCAGGACTGCCAGGGTGTGGGTGAGTGTGTCAGTGCATGCACAAAGACACTCACCAACAGGGACACCCTCTCCAGCCTTGTTTTAAGGGGAGTCTGACCCCAAAGCCCCAGTTTTGGTTAGGTAGAGAGATCTGTCAAGAGAAACCGCCCCCTGGAAATCCCTGGCCTGAGCCTTCACGTGGAGTAGGACTGGCACAAATGCTATCAACTGGCCATCAGAGATGACAGCATGGGCCAAGAATCAGTTAACAGGTTCTCATTCTGGCTGTTGCATAGTTACTATGTGGATAAGTACTTCTCTGAACACATTTCCTAATCAAGAAAATTCAGTTCATACTATCTTTTAGGACTGTTTTCATGAAATGGCATATTTATTTCACGCACATTCATTTCACACATGCACCCCAACCCTCAGGGAAGTACAAAGGAAAGAAAACTCACTCTGGAACCATAGTTTCAAGTCCTACCATTGCCGTGGATTAGAACGGTTACATACACAACACACCGCTTCTAAGACTTAGTTCACCTCTCTGTGAAATGGAACCAATGCTTATTTCACAAGGGTGTTGTAGGGAACGTGTTAGATAAACGAAGACTCGTGCAAACAGAAATTATTACAGCTGTAGTGTGCGAGGATGCTGGGACAGGGTGGACTTAGGTTCAAATAAGACATAAAGGGGACCAAGGTCATGTCTCCATGATCTGAAATAACAAACCACACATCTTCTTCCCTTGGGCAATGAAGTTTTATTGGAAGGTCAGGGGATGAGTCAGGAATAAGGGTTCCCCCACCATGTCCCGCCCCAGGGGACTCCCCCTGCAGGAGGGCAGGGACCCAGGAATCCGCCCGCTCAGATAGCCTTGGTAGTGGGCAGGTTGTTGTAGTGGGCATCCTGGCCCTCGAGCAGGTTGCGGTAAGTGGCAATCTCCTGCTCCAGCCGCGTCTTGATGCCCATGAGCTGCTGGTACTCCTGGTTCTGCCGCTCCATATCAGCACGCACGTTGCCCAGCTGGGCTTCAATGCCGCCGATCACCCCCTGGATGTGTGCCAGCTGAGCTCCATAGCGGGCCTCTGTCTCTGCCAACGTGCCTTCCAGGGCGGCTTTCTGAGAGGAGGCAGAAGGGATGTGACTCCGCAGAGCCTGGTTCCCTGAGGAACCATGGGCACAGCCACCAGCTGCAAGGGCAAAAGTGTGCAGCCCATGGGACAGGGGACACATACCATACTAAGATGGGACTGCAGCTCAATCTCAAGGCCCTGAAGGGTCCGTCGCAGGTCAGTGACTTCAGTCTTGCTCATCTGGAGCTGCTCGGTGTGGCTAGCGACCTCCTGGTTTAGCTCCTCTGTCTGTGATAAGGGAGTACAGGGAGGGAATAATCACTGAGGCAGGCCTTTGGGGGAGGGAAGGGCATCAAGCCCTCTCTCCTTGCCAGTCACCAAAGGGCACCTGTGTCCCCTCCCTACCTGACTGATGAACCAAGCTTCCGCATCCTTCCGGTTCTTCTCAGCCATGAGCTCATATTGGCTTCTCATGTCGCTGAGGATCTTGGCTAGGTCAATGCCTGGAGCAGAATCCACCTCCACACTGACCTGGCCACCCACTTGGCCCCTCAGGGCGCTGATTTCCTGCAAAGACATAGTTGAGATGGGCATGTCAGAGCCCACAGCCTGCTGAACCTGAGCCAGGCCACTCCCCTACCCACCAGGTCAAAGGGAGCTAAGGCACAGGCCTAGGAACCAGCACTGGGGAGTGAACTAGGTGGCCACCATCCCCTGCTGAGTTCCTGGGAGTCATAATTGCCACTCAGGGCACTGAGCATGGCCACAGTCAGAGGGTACGGGACAACAGTGCCCTCAGCCCTTGTAAGGTGGGGCAGGGTGGACAGAAGGCACAACTTGACCCACCTCCTCATGGTTCTTCTTCAGGTGTGCCAGCTCCTCCTTCAGG